AAACAAAACAAAACAAAATACCCCGGCTCCCGGAGCCTTGACTTGACTGTCCTGATCTGCGCAATGAGAAGAAGAAAACTACTTCCCTTGACGGGTGCCTATGAAGACCGCAGAGTGTTCAGCATAAAGTCTGCACACCCAGGAGGTGCCCAGTAAGTGGGAAGATCTAAAATCAAGATCATAGCAGCAAAGGGAGTTATTTATCACACATGCGTTTTGAGGATATGAAAATACTGGGTTTTTCTGACTACTCAGTACTGTCTTAACCAGACTGGTCAAGGGAGGCCTTTTTGAGGAGGTGACATTTTAGCAGAGAATTGAAAGAGAAGAGGGGGAAAGCCATGTGGACATCTGGGGTAGAGGGTTCCGGGCAGAGGGAGCAGTCCGTGCAAAGGCCCTGGGGCACAAGGCCCACCTCTGATGGAGGTGGGAGCCCTGGTGGGCAGAGGGTCGTCATTTCATTCCCTTCAGCTGCTTTGGGGAGGATAGACAAGAGGCGGCAGGGTGAGGGCAGGAGCTGGGGCACCGGGGCAGAGGTTACCTCTCTGGTGCAGTGAGCAGTGATGGGGCTCAACCAGGTACAGGCAGATTCTTGACCCCAGTCTGCCCTCAGAGCAGCCAGAGGCAGTCAGGTGATGACCTTCCTCTGCCCACGGCCCTCCCCGTCTCCCATCTCATTCAGGGTAAAGGCCAAAGTCCCTGCTGCCCACAAGGCCCTGAGTGACCTGCCCCATCCCCACCCTGCCCTCCCCTCTGCCCTCCCTCCCCTTTGCTCCCTCTGCTCCAGCCAAATGGGCCTCCTCAATGTTCGGCCCACACGCCAGGCCTGGGCCTGCCCCAGGGCCTTTGCACGGGCTGTGCCTTCTGCCTGGAACACTATGATATGGTCTTCCTCTCCTTCCTCCTCATCCTTCGGATCTCTGCTCCGAGGCCACGTAGTCACTGAATAAACTGTCGCAACCCCAACAGAGGGCACTTTAGCTGCATCTATCCAAATGAAAGTGAACATGCACTTTGTCCCAGCCACTGCCCTTCTAGAAATTTCTCCTACTGATATTCTTTCACGCGTGACGTGACCTCCTACAGCAATGTTTTGGTGGCAAAAAAAAAA